ATCTGATGTACTACCTCTGTACTATGTGAGCTTATATTAATAAGCAAAACATACAAACATATAGATACACATACATATACACATACATATACACATACATATACACATAGATACACATATAGAAATACACATAGATACACATATACATATACACATAGATACACATATACATATACACATAGATACACATATAGAAATACACATAGATACACTTATAAGTAAAGTACATAAGTAATATAATAAGGTAAAACTGTGAATAGAAATAATAGATAATAAATATAAAAGGAAGTAATGTATATATAGAAATATAAAGTAAGATATAGAAGAAATAAGATAGTAAGTTAGGCACATAATAGAGAAATATAATAAAAGGTGATATAGATAGTAAATAGTAGATAGTAGGTATAAGGTATAAGGTATAAAGTAATAAGTAATAAGTATAAAAGTATAAAAATAGAAAGGTATAATAGGTATAATAGGTAATAATAGGTATAAAAAGGGAATAAAAAATATAAAAGATATAAAAGATATAAAAAATATAAAAGATATAAAAGTTGAAATATATATATTAAGTACATAAATAATAAATAGGAACACTAAGTCTAAAAAGATGCTCACACCAGGAATCGAACCTGGGTTATCAAAGCCACAATCTGATGTACTACCTCTGTACTATGTGAGCTTATATTAATAAGCAAAACATACAAACATATAGATACACATACATATACACATACATATACACATACATATACACATAGATACACATATAGAAATACACATAGATACACATATACATATACACATAGATACACATATACATATACACATAGATACACATATAGAAATACACATAGATACACTTATAAGTAAAGTACATAAGTAATATAATAAGGTAAAACTGTGAATAGAAATAATAGATAATAAATATAAAAGGAAGTAATGTATATATAGAAATATAAAGTAAGATATAGAAGAAATAAGATAGTAAGTTAGGCACATAATAGAGAAATATAATAAAAGGTGATATAGATAGTAAATAGTAGATAGTAGGTATAAGGTATAAGGTATAAAGTAATAAGTAATAAGTATAAAAGTATAAAAATAGAAAGGTATAATAGGTATAATAGGTAATAATAGGTATAAAAAGGGAATAAAAAATATAAAAGATATAAAAGATATAAAAAATATAAAAGATATAAAAGTTGAAATATATATATTAAGTACATAAATAATAAATAGGAACACTAAGTCTAAAAAGATGCTCACACCAGGAATCGAACCTGGGTTATCAAAGCCACAATCTGATGTACTACCTCTGTACTATGTGAGCTTATATTAATAAGCAAAACATACAAACATATAGATACACATACATATACACATACATATACACATACATATACACATAGATACACATATAGAAATACACATAGATACACATATACATATACACATAGATACACATATACATATACACATAGATACACATATAGAAATACACATAGATACACTTATAAGTAAAGTACATAAGTAATATAATAAGGTAAAACTGTGAATAGAAATAATAGATAATAAATATAAAAGGAAGTAATGTATATATAGAAATATAAAGTAAGATATAGAAGAAATAAGATAGTAAGTTAGGCACATAATAGAGAAATATAATAAAAGGTGATATAGATAGTAAATAGTAGATAGTAGGTATAAGGTATAAGGTATAAAGTAATAAGTAATAAGTATAAAAGTATAAAAATAGAAAGGTATAATAGGTATAATAGGTAATAATAGGTATAAAAAGGGAATAAAAAATATAAAAGATATAAAAGATATAAAAAATATAAAAGATATAAAGTTGAAATATATATATTAAGTACATAAATAATAAATAGGAACACTAAGTCTAAAAAGATGCTCACACCAGGAATCGAACCTGGGTTATCAAAGCCACAATCTGATGTACTACCTCTGTACTATGTGAGCTTATATAATAAGCAAACATACAACATATAGATACACATACATATACACATACATATACACATACATATACACATAGATACACATATAGAAATACACATAGATACACATATACATATACACATAGATACACATATACATATACACATAGATACACATATAGAAATACACATAGATACACTTATAAGTAAAGTACATAAGTAATATAATAAGGTAAAACTGTGAATAGAAATAATAGATAATAAATATAAAAGGAAGTAATGTATATATAGAAATATAAAGTAAGATATAGAAGAAATAAGATAGTAAGTTAGGCACATAATAGAGAAATATAATAAAAGGTGATATAGATAGTAAATAGTAGATAGTAGGTATAAGGTATAAGGTATAAAGTAATAAGTAATAAGTATAAAAGTATAAAAATAGAAAGGTATAATAGGTATAATAGGTAATAATAGGTATAAAAAGGGAATAAAAAATATAAAAGATATAAAAGATATAAAAAATATAAAAGATATAAAAGTTGAAATATATATATTAAGTACCTTAATAATGAGTTGGTAGAATTATTTTTTTTTCAAATATTTTTTTTGAATATTTTTTTTTTTTTTCTTTTTCCTTTTTTTTTTATTTTCTTTTCTTTTTATTTTTTATCAATCCTTTTCTTCCTTTTCTTTTTTATTTTTTATTCTCTTCTTTTTTGATGTTGAGTTCTTTCTATTCTTTTTCTTTTTTTTGTTATTTTCTTTGTGTTGATTGCTTTTTGTTGATTTAAAATTCATCAAATACGACATGTTGTTTTCGTTTGTTCTTCTTTGTTCTTATGTCATAACTTTATCTCCTTCAAATAGTTTGTACGTGATTTTAAATTAGATTGGGTCAATGAGGTTTTCTTTATTATCAGATGTTTACAAAATATTGGTTTTTGATGTGATTTTTTATGGATTTTTATTTTATTCACTTGAAAAAAAGTTAGGATTTTTAACAAAAGCAGTTTGAAAAAGTAAGTTATACTTTGGCAAATGGTTTTTACTCTTCTTCTGATATGTCTTCGCTTATTCCAAGAATCTTGTTAACCCCAAACCCATCCATAAGAAGTTCAAATATTGCACCACCGACATTTTCAAGTAGATCCAAGAAAGCGCTTCTTCTTGGTTTTATTACACTGTTTGGTGGAATTGGTTTAATTTTGTGTTTGGTTTTTATAATTTCCCATTCACTGTAACTTATTTCGCCGTCGTACCCTATTCTTTTCTCTCTTCTCATATAGTCAATTTGATATTCTACAATGTTTCCATCATTTCTAATAATACGAGGTTCATTTTTCTCTTCGATAATAACTTTTTCACTTCGTATACCATTTTTGACTACTCTCTCAACATTAACTGATGGTAAACCTCTTGCCCATGTTAAAAGCGTTTCAATTTCTTCTTCTGATCTTGTGTTATCATCGTCTTCATCTGGACATGAATCTACATAAAACATTGGTATTTTAATTAGCTCATCTCCTGTTGTTTCTTTAGCTAGTTTTATTAATGCGGGAAGAAATTCGTCTTTCTTGGAGCTCATTTGTTTTTCTAATTTCTTTGGTGAAATGTCACAAAAACATTTAGCCCATACAATACTGACGTGTTCCCAAAAATCAGATATTGGGAAAATTTTACATATCAGTCTGATCATTTTTTTAATGTTATCTGATAATCTGGGATTAGTAAAATTTAGAACAATAATAATTCCTTGTAGTCCTTTTTGTTCTTTAATATAATCTACCATTTCATTCATATGTTGGATGTCTTTGTTTGGACCACTAGAATCTTGAAGACCAGGTGTGTCAATAACAAATACATCACTCCTATCTCCTTTTCCATAACACCCTTTAGTTTTTTGTGTTACTGATTTAGCGCCGTCACTTACTTTAAAAGCATTCTTCTTCAAAATAAAATTACCAAGTGAACTTTTACCATCACCTGTATTTCCGATCATTATTAATTTAGTTTCTTGTACATCTTCTTGTTGTATTGAATCTTCACTACTCATTGATTGATTCTTAGTTATGATTTGTTTAAATAGTAATTAAACACGACAAAATTTATTTGAGAATGTGTCGAATGTTGTTTGTTATTAAAATATTTCGTATTCATTTGAAATATAAAATTTCAATTCTGTATTCTTAAAATATTCCTCATTGCACATTTTATTTAAACGAAAACAACAACTTTTATTCGAATTATTTTTATAAAAAAATCACATGAACATTATTTTAAAAGCTATGTTATATGATATGTTTTCTGACAACAAATGATGTATTTTTATTTATATGTAAAATTACATCAAAAACAAACTTTACAGTTTAACACAGTGAAAATAATAGAAAAAGTAAATAATTTTAGAGATAATTATCGAAATATTTTGTTTTATTTGGTGGTTTGAAATACAAACATCATTCTAATTTTGATAGGGTGTTTATAAATTATTAATTGATTTCACATAGTCTTCGAGATGTAACTGTTTTTATAAGTTGTAAATGTTTACAATAAAACAGATATTATTATTTTCATTTTTCAAACATAATAATTATATTTTGTTTGTCATTGAGTTAGTTGTTATGACGTTGATGATTACGTTGTTAATGAATAACTGGCATGATTAACACTGTGAGAATTTTCATTTGTTAAGGCATTTCAATTTATCGTTAGAATGTTCTTTTCATCCTCAGTATACAAAATTATTATTAAAAGTACGTTGTTTTTTCTCCACAAGTATTATCTCGTTTTTATTTCAAATAACATATCAAATGCAATAGTGATTCTAGTTATGGGTGTTATGTTTAGATTGTTTATTGTATTACTTGTCAAATCATTTTATTATTTTTCTTCAATTACATGGCATTAATTTCAGTGAACTTGTTGATGTGACTAATGTGTGTTATTTGCATTAAATAAAATAAGTATTATTAAAAAGTCAATTAAGAATGGCTTAGACTTAGAACTAATTATTCTACTTATACCCACAAATTAATCAACGATAAGCTCAAATAATTTAGTTCCGAACTTATTTAAATACCCTATAAGCTCTTCTTTTGAAATATTAGCATAATTTTTAGAAATTGGTTTATCTTCACATTTAGTGTCTATTACTTCCCATTCAGTACAAGTCATTTTTCCATTATGTTCAGCTCTCAACTCTCTTTTCTTCTTTTCAATTTTTAATTTCACATAACCGTCTTTGACAACTATGATATCAGCTATCTCTTCCTTTTCTTCTACAACAACTTTTTTATATTTTGTGTCTTCTTTCAAATCTTTCTCAACAACACTAATTGGTGTTAAACTACGAGCCCATTTCAAAAACTCTTCAACTTCTTTATCTGTTCTACTATTATCTTCGTCTTCATCTGGTTGTGAGTCAACAAAGAACATTGGGAATGCAATACTTTTTTCTTTTCCAGTTGTTTCTTTAACGAGTCTTATTAGTTGTTCTTGATACTCTTCTTTTTTGATTTCTATTTGTTTTTCTCGTTTTTTTTCAGAAATATAACAAAAGCATTTAGTCCATACAATACTTACATGTTCCCAGAAGTCCGGTATTGGAAAAACATTGTATAATTTTTTAATCAATGATTCAATATTATCCAAAAATTCAACACTATTATAGTTCAACACAAGAATAATACCATCTACACCTTTTTGTTCATTTACGTAACTTATCATTTGGTTTAACTCACTTTCATCCATTTCACTAGAGTCTTGAAGACCAGGTGTATCAATAACAAACACATCACTCCTATCTCCTTCTCCATATGATCCCGTTGTTGTTTTAGTCTCGGGATTTGGACTATCGTTAACGACAAAAGCATTTTTCTTCAAAATGAAATTACCAAATGAACTTTTACCATCACCTGTTCCTCCAATCAAAAGTAGTTTAGTCTTTTTACTTTCCTTAGTTGTTAGTACGCTCATTGTATGTTTTTAGTTATTATCTCAACTCCTTTAAATACCTCACAACATTAATATTAAAAAAATAATTTATTTTCAGAAATGATGTTTGTCATTTTTTACCGTTTGATGTAAAAATAAACATAATGACGAATTAAATGCACAGTTGTTATATTTAAACTATAAAACACCCACTTTATTTGTAAATAATTTTGTATTGAATAAAATTAGAAGATTTGGTTAGAAATAATGCTATAATGATTAACAAAATAAATGATTTTAAAAATTAAACCTTATTTCTTCTATTTGTTTTACATCAAATATTTTATTCATCGAAGTCAGTTATTTTTATTTCAAAAATATATTTTATGTTATCAACTTAATTTCACCATAACTATTATTTCCTCAAATCGTATAATAAATAAAATGAACAAAAAAGCAAACCAACTTTCATTTTTTTATTCATTTGGTTTATTTTAAAAATAGATGAAATAATGAAAAATTAATAAACAATTATAAATGAGTGTGTTCTTTCCGGCATTACCCTTTCGATTTAATACTCATAAAATTTAATAATGAAACAAATCAATGCACTTTATTGAAAATAATTTATACCAATTGAATGTATTAATTTTTCTATTTACAAAATATGCCATCGGTGCTTATATTATTTCAATGGTTAAACTGTATTTTATTTTTTAATTTCTATTCAAATAGTTAATGTTTTGAAATTGTCTTGACATCTAAAACGTGTTGATTGTACATTAAAATTACATTCATATCATTTGAAGTTGATTTGTTTATTTCATTCTTTATAATTCTTTGGTTCATATTCATTGTTTATTGTATTATCTAATTGTTAAACCTATACCATATTATTATTTCTCGTTGGTTCATCTCAAATTATCCAATCGAATTAACTATGTGATACCATTTATTTTTCTATGACAAGTGTTATATTATTTTGTTATTTCTGTATTTAGTATTCATACAATTCTTTTATAAATATAGAATTAATAAAAATTATTTGTTGTGTATTGGTGATTACTCTCGTTATTAAAACAACAACAACTCTCTTTTTAATTTCATTCTTCATGTTTAAATTTTATGATTTATAAATTAGATATGGCTCTTTTAACGTAATTTACTAATTTTTATTGTTTATTTTGAATTAACTATTTTATCATGTATTTGAAAAACTAATAATATTCTATTCTTCGTTGATTTGTTTGTCCTTTTATTTTAATTATTTAAAAAGTCGTTGATAAATACAAAGTACGCATTTCTTTTTCTTTAATATAATCTTTTTGTTGCATGATATTATTCAATTCATTAATTAACATTTGCTTCTTTTTGTTTTTCACTTACTAATTATTTTAATTGATTTTTATGTTAATAATTATTTCTTCATCAACAAATATGTTATTTTCTTAATATGTTGATTTCTGTTGTGTTTCAATGGTAATTTGTTATGACATAAAAACAGTCTTAATTAAATATGTTATTTTAATACTTATTTTTTCCATTGTTAGGAATCTTGTTTTTCTTTGTTATTACGTGTTTTATTTTTTAAAACAACTTTTTATTTTTTAGTATTTTACAAAAAGTTACTTGTTTATATGAATATCTTTCAATTTTCTCATGCACTGAAATTATTTTGCTCATTTTATAATATTATGTATTATAATAATTATTTTTGTCTAAATGATTAAATTAACTATTTGTTTGAATAAGTATTGTTTTAATATTCTTTTTATTAATTGAAATAACTATGTTCATCCACAATTTAACATACTTATGTTTTTATATTCAAATTGCACTTTTCAATAATATTAAAGTGATTGAAAATTATATCAGTCTTATATTCAATGTTTTCAGTTTGTTTTTAGAAGTACTGTATTGATATAAAACAATAATAACATTACTATGCATTTTGAAGAGTTTATTTATGACTTTAAAAAAACATTACAACACTTTCACGTTTATTAAATTCATCATGTTATTGTTTATTTTATTATTTAAAACTGACACGTTATAATCAAATCAGTATTGATAACAGGAGACAATAATAATGTGAATAATTAGTGCATAAATAAATAATAACATAATATAGAATTAATATTGTCAATAAATATAAACATTATGAATATCATATTTAATAAAATTAACATTGAATTTCAATAATATAATACAATAGATAAATCAGTAAAAACGTTTAATTAAGAATAGTATTTATTCAGTTGTTGAAGAACAATAGAGTAATGATATTTTAATGAGTTTGTTCTTGTTTGAATTCTATTAGAAAAAATATTGAAATGATAATGATAAAAATTTCTTATTATTCATTAAGTGGTTGTTGTTGATGTTTTTATTCATTGTTCTTTTGTTATTTTTGAGTGTTGATTTAAATTATAGAAAATGTTTATTTTATTAATTTAATTATTCTTTTTATTTATTTGATTATCATGATATGTGTTGAAGTAAACATTCTTATTATGATTTTTTCATTATATTTTCTGTAAATTCTCATATTGAATAAATAGAATGAACAGGTATGATGTCAACATCTTTTCTATCTTTTCTGAATCAAAAATTTTCCACTTTTATTCTTTGTGAATATAAGTTGAATTTGATCATTATTATATTTAAATAACTCAATCAATTTTGAAATTCTTTCTTCATATAGTTGAACATTTCATCTTCATAATTAAATAAAAAACGTATTAACTCTATTGTACAAAACTGATCAATATCATATTCCATCATCTTTTTATATTCTTTTTTTATTTCTAGTGTTTTTGAAAATAGTTTATTTCATTCTTTGTTTCTTCATGTTTGAGTATTTTATTTTCAATATTATATGGCTATATTTTATTATTTGATCTTTAGTTGTTACACTTTCTCCATTTTCTCATTTGATATTATTTGTATATTTAATTTTTATTTTGATAATGTATTTGATTCTACAAACAATGTTTAATAATTGGTTTAGTTTCAGTAAGTTGTGAAAGTAATGGTTTTGATCATTTCTTTCAATTTTCTCAAACAATATTTAACAGAATTCTCATTTAATTGGTTTAATTGATATACAATTTATTAACTATCTTTTTGTGATGTTAATTTGAAATCAATCATTTTGATAATTGAAAGAAATGCATTTTCTTAACAATCATAATAAATATTGAAAATAGAATAATAGAAAATAGTTAATTTACATTTATTTTATTAAGAATTCAATCAACATTAAAAATTAAATGTCAAACTCTTGTTAAAATATTAAGAATTTTAATCTGAGAATAGAATTCATATATTTGTTGTATTTATTTTATTTTGTTGTTCATCGTTATCATTTTATCATAATAATTGATTGTTCTTTAATATTCTTTAAATATATATGATTCTAAATAATGTTTCAGTCAATTGATAATGTCATCATTTTCTTTTTTGTTGTTTTGAGTGATTTAATACATTCACACTACAGTTGTGTCATTTCATTGTAGTGTATTCATTAGATTGTTTCAAAATGAAAATTACAATTAATAAAGTTATTAAATTGTTCGTATTGGATAATTATATCATTCTGAGTTTTCTTTGAACTTTACATGAACATCTCACCAATACTCATTCTGAATTGTTATAGATCATGTTCTTTTATTGTAGTTTGTGTTTACAAATTGTGCAAATGAAACACTTTGAATTGTAGATGTGGACTAACATAACCATAAGTAAAACATGATGGAATTTAAATTATGAAATGAAATAATATATTTTTATTATGAATGTTCTCTTTTTTTATATTTCGAATATTTTTTATTTTTTTATTTTGTTAATGATAAATTGAATGATAAAGAACTATGAAGTGTTTCAATTCATTTAATCAATCCTTTTTACTCATTTTCATGACTCACTAAAGAATTGTTTTTATAAATACATCAACAATTAAATATGATTTACGTTCCACTTTGTTATATTCATAATAAATGTTTTCTCTTTAAATAATCATTAATGGTTATTTAATTATTATCATGAATGTTCAAACTAATACTCATTTAAAATGAATAATGAAATAAATAATGCATGGAATGTGTTATCGTTAATATTATTATAACATATCGAAATATACTGATAATACTAATAAATGAATTGATTGTCATTTAATATAAAAAATAAAATAAATATTTAATATTAAAATTAGATGATATTCAAAGAATAATAATAAATATAATTGAATTATTAATATTTTTAATGAATTTTCAACAATGTATAAATCTATTCAAACTAAATTAATGACTGATGACGAAAATAAGAAAAATGATAATAGATTAATAAAAATATATTTTTCACAAATAAATATAATAAAATAAACAAAGAATATTCAAAATATAATGATGAATGTAATATTTAATAATGTAATTATTTGAGATGTATTTTGAATATAATTGATTGATTATTTCTCTTAATGTCATAATTATCAATTTTTAAATAAATGATATTCACAATAAACAACATGAAATCAATTAAAAGAATTTAGATTTAGTTTTAATAGATAAATTATAATAAAAAATATCAAATAAACAAAGTCACAAATTTATTTTATCAATATTAATATAGTCACAACAAAAATTATTGTTCTGGTTATAACATAAATGAAAAATATATGTTATACACTGATTAATGTATATCAACTATAATCAATATATTAATATTTAAGTTTAACATAATAATCAACAAATACATTAATTTACATTAATTATCGAATAATCTTTGAATATGGATAATAGGACTTAATACAAATTCATTTATAAATTTATTTAAAAGAGTATTTTATGATATATAAATTATGAGTATTATTTTGATAATTAATTTAATTTTTGTAAAAAGAAACAAAGAAATAAAAGAATAGAGTTTCATGAAGTGTTTATAGTATTATGTTTAAAATCAGTATTATTTAAACATAACATATTACTTTATCATTTTCTTTTTATTCATTTTCTATTTATAATACAAAGTAATGATTAAATAAT